ACATGACTGTAAGATTCTAACAAGTCTGGATGCTGTTCATCCAAATAGTTACTTCAATATTAGTTCAAATAAAAGAACTTGTGGCCATAGGTGGAAATTAGTGGGATTTGAGAATTTAAACTGAGATTTAAACTGGATTTGAGAAAGTACTTCTTTACACAGCGTGTAGTTAGAGTATGTAATAGTTTTCCTGTTAGTGTAGCGTAAGCTAAAACCTTGGGTTCCTTTAAATCAGAGCTAGATAAGATTTTAATAACTTTAAGCTATAAGTTGTATTCTCCCCAAACAACCTTGATGGGCCAAATGGCCTCCTTTCGTTTGTAAATTTCATATGTTCTTATGTTCCTAAGTATTTTCACACAAAAGGGAAAAGGCTTTTTAACAAGTTAGAAACTGCATGTGTGTCTCATTTGTTTTCCTGCAAATTCAGGGGCATGGACAGATATTTCAGCAACAGGGCTGCATTTTGCAGGAAGAAGATGAGCAAATGTATCTTCAGAGGATGGTGTTGGGGGGTTGGGTGGGTGATGGGTACCTTGCTCTCTTCTGTGTGAGAGGGCTTGTCATTTCACGAGCTATTAATGTGAACATCACAGCTTCCTATGTATAAATTTAGAGAAGGAGTGTTAAAGGGAAATGGTGGGGATGTCATTGAATAATGAGCATTTCACACAGTGATAGGAGAAATTTAAGACCTTGTTGTGATAGGAAGAACATGGTGGGTAAATGCCTTGGGTTAGCAACTGATCAAGAGGGTGGTTAGGACTGGTCTACAGGGCTGCTTCTGCCAAATTACATCCTGTCAGATGGATGGTAGCACGATAACAGTCTGTCCAGGGTGGGAAATTGTACCAGAAGTCAAGGTTTGGTAACCTGGTGGCATGGAAGAAGATTCAGCCCAAAAAAGAACACCCACAAACCCTGTACCTGCCACCTTGATTACACTATGACTCACGCAATCCCTGCACCACTTCTATTCCACAGACATGCAGATAGCTGATTTTGCAGTTGGTCTGTACATTATACAATATAATGTGATATGTTTCTGAAGCCATGAATCCAGCAGTTTTTAGTAAGACAATTACCACCTGACAGAAACCCAAAGCTGAGGTGATTTGGCATTACTTTTTATCTTAGAAAGATGAAGAATAATGAGGAGATGTTAAGTAAAAATTTAGAGGGATGTATAGGATGTGGCTCACAAAAAGGTTGCTGTTCTTTTTACAGAAATGGGGGCAGATTTTCACAATCATTGATTCCTCTCTGTACAGGAAACATCAGTATGTGACTTATTCTGACTAAAATGCTGACATGGGTCCCTTTACCAATAGAATGTTAACAATGAAGTCTGCATGCTTTGGTGCAACTGATGGAACTTCATTAGAGGGTCTTCTTACTGTATTTCTGACAGAAAGAGGTAAATTTGCAGCAACGTGGGAGAGAAAAGGAATGGACAGACTGATTTTGGGCTGCAAAATGGACTATTGAAAAGATGAACATATCATTCAATTAATGTTTATATTGTTGATAAAATTCAGAAATACATGTGTAGGTGTTAAAGGTTGGAGTGGATTCATGGTTGTCCATTCAGTCCTCTTAGGAGTGCAGTGAGGTCAGACTGAGGGATCACCACACCTGTGCTATTAGTGCAGGATATGCAGTCTGGACAGAAGCACCTAGGGGTGGTGAGGAAGTGAGAAGCAGGTGGGGAGCAGGTTTGCATGCCAGTGAGAGAGGACAGGCATACAAGAAGACATTCAGTAACATAGAATGTCCTCAAAGCTGAGACAACCTTTATATCACCTGCCAGAATGCTAAATTAACTAGCGGCCCTGAAACTGATGGCAAACATTTCTCTTATTAACATGGAGACCTGATATCTCTGAATCTCCAGTATTGTTTTCTAAGCGGTATCTTGATTTTTGAATTAGTGACTTGATTCTGATGTTATTTGTTTCATTTTTACTAACAGTAGTATTCAGGTCTGATTTAAACACTTCAAACCATTTGTGCAATACAATTAGTAGATCAATAGCTTATTAGGCTGGAGAGTAAAACAGTCGTTATTGCATCATTATTGCATTTCACAATGATGCAATACTGACAATACCACGCAAATGGACATTTCTCACTACAATTTGTAATAAATAACCGGGGCTCGTCACTCTGGGTGTAAAAACGACCTGTTTGGGAATAAGGAGTTACACGAGAAACACCAACAGCAGACAGACCAAACAGTGTGATGCCTGTACTGAATGGCTGTATCAATGTCAGGACAGTGACGGGCAGGTGCACCGCTGCGAAGGTGACCTGTGGGAGGCGTTCTCCTCACGCCTCTTCGATGTCACACCTGACAGGTGGTGATGGTCTCGTCAGCGGTGGTGCTGTTAGGTCGTTGTGGCGATTAACAAAAAATCCTTATCTGAAGGTGTGGTACCTTCTAATTAGAAGAATGCCAACATAACGCCCATTTTCAAAAAAGGGGATAGAAGTAATTTGTCAAACTATAGGCCAATCAGTCTAACTTGTATAACTGGTAAAGTTATGGAGGCTATAATCAAAGAGAAAATGGTAGATTACCTGGACTCAAATAACATTTTGAGGGATATTGTCAATGTTAATGCAGTTTCAGAATCAGAATAACTTTATTGT